AGGCTCTGAGGAGGGGTTTAGGGACCTGGAACTTTCCATGAGCATAGCTCGGTGGGTCTCCAGCCTGCATTCCCTGAAGGTGCCCACGCAGATGTGTGCCAGCCAAGTTAATGACAGGGATACTGGGAGACCCTACCTGTATCTTAAGAGTGTGGGACTCAGCTGGACCATGACCTGAATGAAATTCACGAAGCTGCTGGGTTTGTAGGGGCTGCATGGCCTGAGGTACTCTTTTTTTGGGGAGAGGGTTCTTTTTTTTCGAGACAGCGTTTCTCTGTGTAGCTTTGGAGCATTTCCTGGAACTCACTTTGTAGCCCAGGCTGGCCTCGAACTCACAGAGATCCGCCTGCCTCTGCCTCCTGAGTGCTGGGATTAAAGGCGTGGGCCACCACCGCCCGGCGGCCTGAGGTACTCTTACCAACTGAATGACTGGTGTGCGTCTCCAGGATTTTTGATGAATGGATAGATCTGCCCAAACAAAGACATTTCCTGGCACAGAACAGATGAAACAAGTGCACAGTTGCTCGACATTTCCAGTTTTCTTTTCAGAGCTGTTGTTTTATCAGTTAAAAGTGACCAGGAGAGCACACTGGAGGAGGGGAACGTGCCATCATAATTCAAAAGGAAGGAAGCCGGAGGACACCTGAAGTCACTCTGGCCAAAGGGCACATGCGACCTTATGCTCCGACATCCAGGCCTTTAATAGCCTCCTCCAGGAGCTAAACGTACTCAAAAGTATTTTAAATAGGCGAGCTGGAGCCTTCGGGATAAAAGTTTGTCCACATTTTTTGACCAGTTTTATCATGGCCTTGTTCAGTTCTGAAGTGAAATCGTAAATGTTCTCTGAGTATTTAAGGTCTTTTATCACCTTCCACAATTTCAGCTTTGCTAAAAAGAAAAATGCTGCCTGGATTTAGAGGTTGAGTGAATAACTTGAGTCCACAAAAGTACTCAGGAAAACAGGGAAACCAGATCATCATTGATAAAAGAAATTTGCTTCCCAACCAGTCTAGGGGAAATAATTCTGCCTCATTAGTGCACAGATCTATGAAAATGACCTACATGTAATACTAAAATGCAAGCACACACCCCTTCTCCTGAATTATCAGAAAATGCCAGTAACTCAGGGGGCCATATGTGGTGGCCAGCATATTTGACCCCAGCACCCAGGAGGTAGAAGTCTGTGCTTCTCTGAGAGTTCCAGGCCAACCAGGCCTACATAATGAGCCCTGAGCCCTGTCTCAAAAATAAAATAAAATAGAGGCTGGAAAGATGGCTAAGTGGTTAAGAGCACTTGTTCTTGCAAAGGACCTGAATTAGATTACCAGCACCCACGTGGAGGCTAGCTAACAATCATCTATAACTTTAGTCCCAAGGGGATCCATGGCCTTCTTCTGACCTCTACAGGGGTGCCAGGCACTCACACAGTGCACAGTCATACATGCAGGCAAAACACCCATTAAACACATAAAATTTAAAAAAATATTTAAAAAAATTACAACTTAGAGCCAGGAGATACCTCTCATAGGTCATATTACAGGCTAGTGGGTGATTCAGAAATAGGCTGGAACTGACAGGCTACAGAAATAGTTTCTATCGTCAGGATGTATTTATCTCATTAAGAGATAAGGTGATGTTGCTACATAACCCATCATGAATGAGCTGATTTGTAGCTTCAAATGAATGAATGGGTTTAAAACTAGTAAAGAAATCAGAAAAGATAAAATAGTGAATGATTGCTCATCAGAATGGAGAAGAGTAGAGACAGGCGGATAGCCTTTAAATACATTCATTAATAATATAGGGAAGGAAGTGGACTGCAAGATCTCGTCTGGTGCAACATTGTTGCAGTTACCAAACACCGTGAAGAAAGCAGAGGAACTCTAGATGAATTCAAAACCCAGCGCAAGAGCCGGAGAGGAAATGAGATGAAAAAACAGCCTTGCAGTCCGAATGTCAATCTTAGCAGTCTGTAAAACTTGATTTCCCAGACGCCTTATATTAAGGAAACAATGGCCAGTAAAGATTTCTTCAGCTGGAAACATTCACATCCTTAAATGATCATTCACAAATGGAGTAATTAGAAGCAACTTCAGATGAAAAAAAGAAAGGAAACTTGAGAGTCTTTAGTGGTACAGTGTGCTAATTTTGAACTCTGCAACAGGAAGATGTCCTAGGAGGAAAAACTGATGTTACTTCAAGTTAAATTGTTTTTATAACTTCAGTAACAATTTAGTATCAGAGTGAAGGGAAATGAGAAGACTGGTATAGGTACCAATATTTTTCAAAGAAAAAGCTAGCTTTGGATGTCTAATTAGAGGATGTTGTTAAAGTTTTCAATTCCGACGCCTGCCATTTGGACGGCTATGATAACAAATTACAAGTGAGAAACTTCAAAATAGGGAAGCTCCAAGTCTGCAGAGCAGAGGAAGTGAGTTAATACATCACTCATTCATGCATCGAACATACTGAAATCATTAGAACACTGAATGTAAGAGGTGAAACACCTAATCAACCACCCCTCCGTTATTCTCCCATAGTGCAAGGAGGGCTTCTTCTTTTCTTTTCTTTTCTTTTTGGTTTTTCGAGACAGGGTTTCTCTGTGTAGCTTTGCGCCTTTCCTGGAACTCGCTTTGTAGACCAGGCTTGGCCTCGAAGTCACAGAGATCCGCCTGCCTCTGCCTCCTGAGTGCTGGATTAAAGGCATGCACCACCACCACCCGGCTGCAAGGAGGGCTTCTTATAACACCTGGTAGAAAGTAATCAGAACCATGTCACATGAGAATTACTGTCTACGAAGAAACCAACAGGAGAATGAGGAGGCAATGAGGCAGCCCTCCAGCAGGCTTTTTTTGTTTGTTTGTTTGTTTTGAGACAGGGTAGCCCTGGCTGGACTGGAACTTGAAATGTAGACCAGGCTCACAGAAATTGGCCTGCAACTGCCTCCCAAGTGCTGGATTAAGGCACGTGTCCCTGTTCCTGGTTTAGGGAGCTGCTCAACACCAGGTTGTTGGGGAAAGTGGCTCAAAGTGACTGAGGTAAGAGGACTGTGAGGTGGGCTGGGTCCAGTCTCCACCCTGAACACCTGGCCGAGGAATCTGGACTTTATTCATTAGTCATCTTTAACACTCTTCATGACCTGCACTGTACACTTGCTTGGTAAGATGAATGAAGCCATTGATAGGGTTTGGGTTGTTGTTGTTGTTTTGTTTTCCACAAGAAGTACCAAGCTTCAGTTTTTCGTTTAGATTGAGACTAATCTATGGTGTTGAATGGGAACGATAGGGTAGACCTAGTATAAGAATTCCTGTCAAGAGTGTGAAGCGGCATTTACTGAAGTAATCCTACTAGATGCCTCACAGACATGTTCTCAACAACTGTTTAAGACCAGTGACAGAGGGAAGAGTCAGTGCAGCATTTCCATCCTGCACTAGAGAAACACACGCAGATGTTCAAACCTACAGGATAGTGCTGCTTTCAGCCTCGGCTGGGAGCCTCATTTTTCGGTGGACAGAGGTTGAGATCCAGAGGAGCTGGGACAGAGAAGTGCTCGGCCCTAAATGAGACACGCACACCAACTACCTCTGAGGTTCGGAGAACTTCAAGGAAGATGGGGCAGGAAGAGTGTAAGAGCCTGAGGATGGGAAGCATGCTGTGAAATGCTGTCTTCGGGACTTGACACGGCCTTTGTGCTCCTGAACTCACAGCAGCTGTGGTTACTGACACACGATCACGGATTGGGAGGGGCTCGGGAGAACCCTCCCCTCTCTGAGGAGCTATAGGCAGTTAGTGAATGGCTGCTGGGGGAGGGCAATCATTTTCGTTAGTGGTGCAGTCACTGTTTAGTCACTCCAGCCAATAAATCCCGACTCACAGTCCTAATTAAACTACGACAGACACACAAATACACACACACACACACACACACACACACACACACACACACACACACACACACCCCACGCAAACCGGGACTTTTGGGGGAAAAGGTAGGAGTGGGAGAGTGATAAGGGAGGGTAATGGGGGTGAATATGATCAAAATGCAGTGTGTATGTGTGTGTGTGTGTGTGTGTGTGTGTGTGTGTGTGTGTGTGTGTGTGGTTATCAGAGAAGAGACCACAGGACACACAGAAATCAAAGTGAGGCAGAGCTGGAAGCTTCTTCCAGCTAGCGAGCCCTCACAGTGCCAGAGGATGCTATGCAGACTTGGTGGAGAACTGTCATCAGTAGTCTCGCGCAGCTGTGGTCCCTACTTGCTACATTACTGACCTCCCAGGCAAAGGGTACCTGCTGATGCACCAGTGGCATGTTCACTATGGGGGTTACCAACCACTTCCTGCCTGGAATTGAGGTCTGCTCCCTAAGAGGGAAGTCACATCTGGTACTATCAATCTGATTAAAAGCACATGGCTGGGGAGGTCACAGGCCTTAATAGGGAGGCTACGGATTTTGTTTTGTTAAATGAATGTGATGTGTGCACTAAATTGTGCACAAGAATTGTGCTTGTGCCCATGAATTAGTGATGCTGTCAGGTTTGGTTAGAGAGGCTTTTTTTTTCTTCTTCTTCCTGCAATGGGCAGTGGTAATGCAGAGACTCCTAACTGGTCAAGATATTGAGAATAGGAGACTGCTGAGGGCTCAGCCTCAAATAGCACCTCTTTATCACCTCTTCTGAGGCTCAGGTCATGTTGAGGAAAAGATGGCACAAAGAAAGTAAGAGAAAAAGGATAGAGTAGAGTGTTGTGGAATCTTCTGGGCATGACATGACATGTTTCATTACATTCTCTTTAAAGAGATATTTTTATTTATTTTTATGTGTGTGTTTGCACACGTGTATGTATGTATACCTCACGAGTGCCTGGTGTCCCCGGAGGTCAGAAGGAGTCGGATCCCCCGGAACTAGAGTTACAGATCCACCATATTGGTGCTAGGAACTCCTCTGCAAGAGCTGTAAGTGCTCTTAACCATTGAGTCATCTCTCCGGCCATGACAGTCTTTACCTGACAGCAGCTGTGGTTATCTGTCCAAGATCTGCACAAGACTGGGGTGTGGAGTCGGGAGGGACTGAGGAGGATTTCTAGGCCGTTAATGGTTGCTGGAGGAGAAAGAAACATTTTCTTCAGTAGTGTAGCCGCTGGTGAGTTCCCCGAGCTCCTGTAATTAACCTATCACCTAATGATCCTGGAAACAATTATCAAAAATTCATTGGCATGCAGGCCTGTGGCTCAGTGAGTAAAGGCTCTTGAGACCAAACCAAATGACCTCAGCTAATTCCTAGGATCCACGTGGAGGCAGGAGAACCAACTCCCCAAAGTTGTCTACTGACCTCCCGTGGATCAGTGAAGAGGGCTAGCAAGGAAGAGGAAGGGATTCAGAGGAAGTGGAGGGTGACAAAAAAAGGGTAATGGCAGGGTGACCATGATAACTACATCATACACATGTGTGAAAATGTTTCCATGAAACCCATTATTATGCATAATTAATGCATACTAATAAAGCATTACAAGTTTTAAAATAGAAAAATGCCAGTCTCCAGCACGTGGGCGTGAACTCTGATTTGGAAAGGAAGGGGAATAAAGTTTGGATTTACTGCTTGTGAAGACAACAAAATGCCTGTAAGAGGAGGTGTGTAAGCTCACTTTTTCTCTTTTTTTGGTTTTTCGAGACAGGGTTTCTCTGTGAATCTTTGCGCCTTTCCTGGATCTCGCTCTGTAGACCAGGCAGGCCTCGAACTCACAGAGATCCGCCTGGCTCTGCCTCCCAAGTGCTGGGATTAAAGGCGTGCGCCACCACCGCCTGGCGTAAGCTCACTTCTAAGACTGCAGCATACAGGAAAGGAGGTGGTAGCACGCACCCCAAGCTGGATTAGAAGCACTGCTCTGCAGCCTAAAACGCCTAGCAAGCGGAGGTCACTGTCGGACTAACCGGCCTTTGCTCAAGTGGCTTCTGCTCTTCGAAACACTTCCGCTCCTGCTTGTCTTCGGTTCACCCTTCCCAGGAAGTGTTCATTCCCAGGAAGACTCTCCCTTAGTTTCCTCATCTGACTTCTCTCTTCTATCAGCCCCCCTCTGCCTTCTTGTGTGTTCCCTTCCAGATTGAGGTGCTCAAGTGCTGGGGCTCTCTATCTCTTGACCTAAGGCCATCTCTATATGTCTGAACCTTAAAAAAAAAAATCTCTTGACTGACTGGCAAAGAACAACCCTTCTCCATGAAGTCAGTTTCTTCCTTCTTAGGGCAGCGCAGTTAACGACCTCAGGACCAGGAAATCATCCCCCTCATCACATACCAGGGTATTATTCACGCAGTTTACTCACCGTAAACAGTTCCCTTAAGATAGTGGCAACAACTAGTTGAAGATTTACAAACTTCCCAGGGCCAATCTACTTTCTGAAAAGCCTGTTTATGGGAGTGGGAAACAGGTCACCTTTCTGATTCTGAAACACCCAAGTGGCGATAAATCCAGAATTTCTCTGGGTCTCGGGCTGCATAGGAGTCTGTGGTCCTTTTCTTGAACCAGTTTTTGCGGAGCAGTGTACTCAGAGCAAAGGTGGTGTGAGTGGTTTGTCTCCGCGTTCGGGAGCATTCTGGACACGGTTGGAAGAGTCTCGAACACATACATCTCTTAGTCGCTGAACGTTCGTCAAAATGCCAAACTTTTTCTTTGAACGTGGAGTCGCACTGACTGAAGACTGCTATTTTCCTCGAGCATTAGGGGGCCTGGAGGTCCGTTCGTGAGGGACGCCCAACTCCCAGGGTTCTGGGGATCACAGCAGAGCCAGGGTTCCCCTTGGGCTCCCCCCGCACCCCGACTTGCCCCAGGCCGAGAGCTGGAAGCCGGTCCCTGCAAGGGCGCAGGACGGGCGGGCACGGCGCGAGGGGGCGGGGCGAGCCAGCCCGAGGCCGGGGCGGGGCCAGAGCGCGGCTCCAGCCGGCCTAGGCCTCGCCGGGCTCCGCCTTGCCCGGCTACGCAGGCGGTAGGGCTGCGGTAGGGGCCGGGCGGCACCATGGCGGCGGCAGCGCCTGCTGCGGCGGCTTCTCCCGAGGCGCCGGCCGTCCCCGGCACGGCAGACCCGGAGACGGGAGACGAGGACAGTCGTGAGGTCCGAGTGCTGCAGAGCCTGCGCGGCAGGATCTGTAAGCGGGGCCGGGGCCGGGGAGGTGGGCTGAGGGGACCCCGGGGCGGCGCGGCGCGGCGGAGGGTGGGCGCGGGGGTGGCGGCCGCCGGGGACTGGTGAGACTGGCCGGGGGTGTGTTCGGGGAGGCGCCGCGTCGACGGGACGGCGCGGGTCGGGGCTCCCCTCGGAGCGAGCGGGGCGGGGACCTGGCCGCGCGGGCGGGCGGGCGGGCGGGAGGCGTGAGGGGCGCTGCCTGAAGCGCGGCCTGGACGCGGGAGCCCGGGGCGCGGCCGGGGGCGCGCGGAGTTTCCGGCCTCCCTCCCGACGCAGGCCTGCGGGCGGCCGCGGACGACGGGAGCGGCCCGAGGTGGGAGCCCCGTGGTAATTACCGGGGAGGCGCGGCTGGAGGAGGGAAGGAGGGAGGGAGGGAGGGAGGGGGGCCGGCCGGGGCGGGCCGGGCGGGGCCGGGCGGCGGGCTGAGGAGGGGGGGGGTGCGGGCTCCCCGGGGGGCTCCTGCGAGGTGGAGACGGGGGCCGGGGGCTGCGGAAGCGGGCGGCCCCGGGGCGGCTGGGCGCGGCGAGGCGCGGCGTGCAGGCGAGCGGGACGGCCGCCCGCCCGCCCGCCGGCCCGAGGAGCGCGGGCCGGACACCTGTGCCCGCCCCACCTTGCTGCGGCGGCGGCGGCGGCGGCGGCGGCGGCGGGGACTTGAATCGAGAGACGGCGGCGTGACTGACAGGGACTTGGGGCAGGATGTAGTGGCTTCCTGTGAGCAGGTCTCAGAACACAGTCATCCAGTCCGCACCGAACCCACTTCGCGCTTTGCCGTGCATGTGTTAACTTCTGTGAGAGCCGCGCCGACGAGCGTCGGGTCTTCCTCAGAGACAGGCCGGCGTGATTGTCAGTGCCATCCCTAGTCTTTGGAATGTCCCTTTGATAGTACATTGGCGCCCCCCTCCCCCAGCTTATTTAGACGACCCCTTTTCATTGGAAGACAGACAATACAACTTACTGTTACTTTTGTTGAAAAGCACTTTTTATTCAGGAGCCTCAGGTTGGAACTGTGCTCCCTGATGTCTCTCCTCAATCCGTGACTGTGAAAGATACTTTATATTTTGTGTTAGGATGGCTAATACTGCTCTTTCTTCAGCAGAATATAAGTTTTTCTTCTTAAATATTGATGCTATAACGTATTTTGGATCCTCCCACTTTTTTTTTAAGGTTACTCCCCTTTCAAGGATTTGGAATTTTATTAAAACCCCAGGAACAAACATGTTAAATGCCACTTTTTATTCCCTGATGTGATCCTGGGACTCTTAATTAAGACATTTCAGGTGTTAAAACTTGGAAAATTACACCAGAGCAGTGGATGTTTTGTGAATCTAAGTAACCATTATTTAAGTTACTTTCTTAGGGTGTAACCTTTTCACAATTTATATTTCTTACATTTAATATTTGCATATATGTGTAATCCTTGGGGCAGCCAAATAAACTAGAATTCCTTCCCCTCCATTGATCTGGTTTTCCAGATTTTACTCCTTTATATTTTTCTGTGATTGGATACTAGACACTCTCTGTGGAAGCCTCGCTGATCTGTAAGAGCAGGTTGTGTTGTGGGATGACATAGGATTGGACTGTTTCTTTTTTTGGTTTTTCGAGACAGGGTTTCTCTGTGTAGTTTTGCGCCTTTCTTGGAACACTGTAGCCTAGGCTGGCCTTGAACTCACTGAGATCCGCCTGGCTCTGCCTCCCAAGTGCTGGGATTAAAGGCATGCGCCACCACTGCCCGGCTGGATTGGACTGTTTCTAGAAGGACTTAGTCACTGTCTACTTTGACCTGCTCCATAGCTAAAGTTCTGTGAACAATTTGACAAAAATATCACTCCAAGAGAAATTAGGGTGCACCTTAAAAGCACAACTTGGTTCCTGTGGTTTAGGCAGTCCCACTGCCCAGAAATTGACCATTAAGTTCCTGGGAATGTTATTTTTAGTTTAACTAGTGCTGAAGTATTACACTTGCTTTCATCCTAGACAGTTTATTTTTTAATTGCTCACCTTATAGCTCAGGTAATGGTGTGACTGTTTCACAAAGGAGTATGTTTAAATAAAGAATACCCCTCCCATTTCTCTGTCCTCCTTTTAGCGGGTATAATCTAGAGTTGGTTGAGCCTGGGAACCTTGCAAGGAGATGCCGTTCTCTGTTTCTGAAACTGACATGTGGGTTTTGTAAGATGAGGGCTGAAAAGTGGCAGAAATTTCAGCAGGTGTTGAAGTCACAGAAATGGGATGATGGTGGTCTGGCAGTGAAGATACTAAGCAGTCTATGGATGGCGAAGTACCTGTGTCACGATTCCTTTTCACCACCCCGAGAAACCTTGGGGAGGACCTGATATTTGCCTGTTGGCCTGGAGATGTACTGTCAGATTCAAAACTCTTTGGGGACCTCTGATCTGCAGAGTTAGAGATCTAGACAGCTGAAAAATCTGAGAGGAAACATTCTTGTTCATATTCCTGGCACTTCAACTCCGAATCACGCTAGTGAAAAGTGAGGATGGATTCATGGATATGTTGTTGAAGTTCTAGAAAAAGATAATAGTCCACACCCTTCTTCAGGTGTCTCGTTCCTAATTTGTTTGTGTCCCGTAGATTTCACAAGGTATATAGTATCAAGTTGATGGATCAAAAAACCTATAGGGTGGGGTCAAGTGCCTGCTGTGCAGACATGAGGAGCTGCCTTCAGGTCACCAGAGCCCATATCAAAGATTCCTTTAACCCCAGCACTGGGAGAGTATGGCCACAGTCTGATGCCTGAAACTCATGGACCTGGCCAGCATGACTGAGTAGAGCTTCTGGCTCATTGAGAAACCTTGTCTCAAATAATAAAGGTGGAGAGTCTCAGGCACCCACATACATGGGCACCTGCCTGCACATCTGTACATAGCCACACTAACATGTACACACGCATACACAGGAGTCATTTCATAGCTGCCTTTACACAGTTGGTTTAAGGAAGTCTATTATTGGAGACAGTATTTTGGATTAGAGACTGATGCCCAATTATTCAAGTACTTTTAGTGTGTTAAAAATCCTGAACATTTTGAATGGTCAGCTTCTTTAACTGTATTCAAGAGGCAAAGTTGTTGGATATCTTCGAATTGTCATCTGAGCCTTTAGTAACCAAAGTTAGAAGTAGTTTTGGTCTGAACTACTTTGATGTAAGTGGCATACCTAAAGCTAGTTTGTATGCCCCCCCTCCCCATTACACCCTATTTTCAGGTGAAAGAAGGGCTTTAGACTTTCTCCTTTATATCGTCAAGCTTGATGTGACCTCCTTTTTGGTTACCACATTTTGTTCAGTCTTCCTGTGTCTAATGAAGTCAATTGTAAAAGTTTTGAAAAGACTCCACACTACTGTATGCACAGGCTTTTTCGCTTGGGATACCTGGTTCACAAAGGTACCAATTGTGAAGATTTGTGGGAAGTGTTTGATGTATTGTACAGTGAGATCGGTGAGACAGTGATGGTGACCCAAGAACTCACTTAGGATTTTGATATTTTCAGACCAAGAATGACTGAGGGCTGTTTGACAAAGCAGAGCGCACTCGGCAGTGCTTAAGCTTAGGGGCCTGGTGTAATTAGTCAGCTGGGATTGAGTGTACACTTAATTCCCAGCTTTTGCTCACACCTTGGTGTTCCTTTGTAGTCTCATGTGTACATTGTGAATAGTAAAAATATCTGCCTCACGGGATTGCTATGATGATACCCTCAACCCACAACCAAAAAAAAAAAAAAAAAAAAAGCTGGGTCAGCCATGGGCCGTCTCTTAGGAAGGAGTGAAGCAGGAGATAAAGCCTTATCTGATGCTCTTGTCCAACACGCACTAACATTTCCTGGTGTGCAAAGCGGACTGAAAGCAGAAAGCTGCGTTCTGCTCTATCCTTCGTTAGGTCATGTTCCTGTGACTTTAGGCAGCTCATTTACCTTGAGCTTGTCTTTGTCCTCTCTAGAGTGGGACTACTGTTTTATCACTAGCCATCTTGCTTATGTTGTTTCCTCAGCCCGAAATTCCCCGATATTTATGTCAGAGAACCCCTACACATCCTTCAAAAGCTTGCTCCATGTGGTCTAAGTCTTTGAGCCAAACTTATCCTCATTTCTAGCCATAGGGTTTTGATGCTAAAACAAACTGCAATTCATGACCGTTTTGTTATAGACATCATTTGTGTAAGTTCTTGTTACACTATGAACTCTTTCAGCTTAGTGTACATTCTTGTTTGTTTTTTATTTTTGTTGTTGTTTTTAACAGTCTCATAGAATAGGGCAGGCCTTTAGAAAATACCTTTTATTGTCATCCTGAGGATAGTTTCAGAGTACTGGATGTAAAGGATTTTCACATTGCTGAACAAACTAGCAAGTGTTAGTTTTATTAAAAGAAAACTTCGTGGATCTCTCAAGAAGTTTTTTTTCCTTTCCCTTCGAAAATTGGAATGTCCACTTATCTTAGGTTTGAATTGAGGTCAAAGTTGTCTCCTTAGGAAAGGGGTTAAGTTTTTCTAAATACTGGCTTATTAATTAGAGCACTAATTTTTTTAATTTATTTTTTATTTTATGTGCATTGGTGTTTTGCCATAAGTGTTGGGTCCCCTGCAACTGGAGTTAACAGTTGTTAGCTACCATGTGGGTGCTGGGAATTGAACCCAGGTCCTCTGGAAGAGCAGTCAGTGCTCTTAACCGCTGAACCATCTCCCCAGCCCCCTAGAGTACTAATTGTTATTTGACTATATTCATGAATTTTGATACTAGTTGGTCCTGAAGCTTGGAAAAGAAAATCTTAAAATCATACTTGACCCAGGAAGTGTTTTTATTTGGCATGGCAGGTTTAAATGTTTTGGTAATAAGATATAAATCAAGACATTTTTATTGACTACCCAAGAGTTGAGAGGAAGAAATTTAAAAGGGATTATTCATGCTAATAATTATTATCAGAATTTTTAAATGAGACGATGAGAACTTAATAGAGGG